AATTTACGCTCGATCCACTTGCTAATTCTAAAAAGAAAAATAAAAAAATATAATTTATTATTGCATTTTTAAATTATTTTTCCTTCTTAAGAATATATGAAAGTTAGAAAATGGGTCATCTCGTATAATTGGGTATCTTTTGGATGATGTAAAAGCTATGATATGATAAAAGATTGCACATAAAGAGTTTTGATATGATAAAGATTGCACATAAATATATTATATATCAACTTGAAATGACATTGGCATCATCTTTTGTAAGTTAAGCTTATTTTATACAGTAGAATCAAAAATAGGCTGCTATAATTATCATTTCATTTTCATTTTTTAGAAAAATTGGATCATTTCATCCAATCTCAGACATCTTTTTCTGTTTCCATTGGAAGTTCTTATCAATTTTAGTCAAACAAATCCCAATTCTGGTCTAAGCTTTTGACTCATATCGCATTAAATAGGGAATTTAATGATAACAGTCAAATTTTATGTGAAGCAAAAGGGGATGAATTGCAGGTCCACAGGTTGGCTAATAGTTGGATGACTTGTGGACAAGTGGGCTTATCCCATGTCACAGTCATCACCCACAAATGGGTATGTCCTTTGTCCGCTTAGGATCTCAATACGTAACAGTTTTGTCAGCTTATCGTAGCCCTTTTTTTTTTTTTTAATATTTACCACTAATGACGTTTTATTAACCAAGATAATTAAACTAAGCCTACAACTAACAGATTTTTGAGGTTTATTTTCCACTTAATTGAGGTGAAGCCGCGGTTTTAAATTAAGACTTGTAAATTATTGAACAAAAAAAATATGTAATTTTGAATTTGAATTGTAAGGACTATATAAAGAAACCCGGTTCGACCGTTATTTTAAATTCGGTAAATCTATTTAATAATTAGTGCTATAAGAATTATTTTGATTTATGAAGTATAAATGTTGTCGATTGTTAATAGTAAAGTTCAAGACTAAGAATAATGACTTTTATTTTTGAGTCAGTAAATTATATTATTTTTATATATAAGAATGCAATTTGGTATTGTCTAATAGGTAAATTTGTAATTAATAATGACATTGATGTAATACATTGTACGTGGATTAATTTCTACTTTCATTAAATAGAGACATTGATTTTAAGTAGAAGGTTCCTGATTGGAATATTATGGAAAAATGAGTTGGAATGGTGTGGAAATTTATTGATTTAACTAATTTTACTGATAAGAAAAAAAATGAAAGAATTTAAAAAGTGAAATTGGATAATATGGGACAATTCTAAAATTTTATAACAAATTGTGCCTTGTGGAAGGTTTTAATTTCTCTAATAAGCTATATGTAATTTTGTCACGTAGAAATAATAATAATAATTCCAAACAAATGACTTATGACTAACACTTTTCTTTTTCTTGGGCTGAAGGAAGTAGGTTTTGTTTTGTTTGTTGCGTATGGAAATTGAAAGTTGAAGGGTAATTAGGCTAACACTTTTCTTTTTCTTGGACTTAAATAGCAAGTTGGGCAAAAATTCTAAAACCATGTGATTCCACATCTTGACATTTCCTCTCCAAACCCAAAACTTCGTCTATCACTTACTTCGATAGAGACAGGATCAACAAAGTATCATGCCACCATTTTTGCTTATATATAACGTCAATTTTCCTTTTCCTTTTTTCTTTTTCTCACCAAACAAATACTAATTAAGTGAAAATATTCTTGAAAGAGCTATATAGTTGAAAAAATAATGGATATAATTATTAAAATATTTAATTAAAAGCTCCAAATTAAACGTTAGATGTTAAAAGCTGCATTGGGCAGTGATGCGACACGTATAGTGAGGCGCAACTGACAAGGATACAGGTTCGCAACTGCTGTTAGAACAAGAGTTTAATTATGTAGTTAAATGTCTTATGGGTTTAGATATTGTGTATGTGCGTTTGCAATTGCATGTTAATTTAAGCATGTGAAAACGCTTTCCACGAGAAAGTTTCTTCTTCGATTTTTAGTAAGTTGATTGTTGGATCCATATGTCAGATTCTGTACTAACTTCTATTTATTTTCACCTATTTTGTGTCTCTCTCATTAATTATATCGACTTCCTCACTTTTCTAACTACCCTCCAACGTAGTAATTAACGACTCTCTTCTTCCTCCCTCCTCTTCTTCTCTCCGGTTTGTCCTGCTCTGCTCTGATATAGGTTTCAAATAATACTGTGGAAACGAGAATAAGTCTAGAATGGCTCGCGATGGCTCCAAGAATGGCTCGCGATGGCTCCATATATATATATATATATATATAAACAAAGGATTGTTTTCAAAATGATTTTTTTTTTTTTTATAGTGTCCGTTGGAGAGCAAGCTTGTGCTGATTGGATCGGAAATATTTATCTAATTCAAATACTCTATATTAATGTATGGTTGTACATGGTCATATATGGGCCCATCATAAGCCCAACAAACTTGAAGATTTAAAGTGAGAGAAAAGAAAAAAAAATATATTTTTATTATTATTTTGATTGAAATTTTTTTTTTCATCTTTAACATATAATTATTTAAACATTAAAATACTGATTTCCACTTTAAAAAAAATAAAGTAAAGAAGCAATGAAATTAAAAAAAAAAAAAAAAAAAAAAAAGGGTCACCAGCAGCCCTTGACTAGGAGCATAGAAAATTAATTAGGACAAATATTTAGTTGGACCGTACATGTCACAAAAACGTGCCTAACTCATATAGTTTTTTGAAGTCAATTCAATATTTGAGCAACAAATTTCTCTTGCGATTAGGTCCAAAAGGTGCAGCTATGCTTGACTCACCCACTGTACTAACTATAATTATATCTTGGCCCATCTCATGACTCGTAAGCCTTGACTCTTGCTTTTATGGTCATCATCCCTCCACAATCGAATACAATAAATTCGCAATACTTTTAGTTTACTCATTAAATATTTTAATTTATAAAATTAAATTAATTAAATATTTATTAAGATAGATAAAAAATATAAAAATTATTATTTTAAAATTTGTGTTAACCACACGTCAACTCAATTTTTTTTTACATATAAAATTCAGAAAATTTAAAATGTGTAGATAGGTGTTTTATGATTAAGTTTAAATGAATTTGAATACATCCACTGATATTAGGGAAATGGCAAGGGCAACTGCCTCCTTTAAAATTTTAAAATTTTTATTTTTAATATATTAAATTTTTTACTTTTGTATTTGGTCTTTTAAAATACTATAATAAATTTAAATATATATATTTTATTACTAAATCTAAATCCCGGCACATCACTGTTATATTTTTATTATCACTCTTTGGTGTATAATATGTTGTCTGAATCAAAACACCAAGTTAACACAGAAACGTAGTCCTTTTTGTCGTTTAGATACTTGTACAAGTCTCGAAGCTTGCTCTATGCATTTATCCGAGGACAGAAGGGCCACATTTGAATGGGCCTAGTTTAATTGATAAATAAACAATTAATTGGGCCTGAAGAATGACCAAATGTTGCGACAAAAAGAACAGACTTTTCTATTGTTAATTTGGGCTACGGGCCCATTGATTTAATCCAATTGTGTCCTTAGCAAAATATGCTAAATGTATTCAGATACAATGTGAAAGTTTACCCATAAAGATTTTTAGTTGAAGCAATTAAAAAAAAAAAAATAATAATAAATTTAATATGTGCTTCGAAATAATAAAAAAGGAATTCGTGAAGTGAAAATTTTGCAGAATTCTGACATCATAAAAAGAGGCTTTCCATAGATAAGCAGTCACGTCATGAATAAGAAGTCAATAGTGCATTTAATAATTCCAATTTGCACATTTCAATTAAATAAAATCTATTACTAAATATTTATCGTAGGGAGACCATATAGCCAAAGCCTAATGTCAACTGCTTAAAATAATTTAAAAAAAATCTAATTGCTGCTGGTTATACATTTTGATGAAGTTGAAAAAACAAAACCTTTTTTTTTCTTTTTCCCTAGTTAATTGTAATTCAATTGAAAATTTATATATTTTGATTTAGATTTTCAGGATTTAATGAAAATTTTCAAATTCAAATTATCTCAATTACAAATAAAATAATTATTATTATTATGTAGCTCATAATATTATTTTAAATATTTTTTAAATAATTATTTCAAATATTTAATCCCTCGACCAATAAAAAAAAACTTAATACTCAGCGCTGAAGAATTGTATTACATTTTGAAAGAGTCGAGTTTTATTCGACGGCGTTTGTCTGGCATCCAACCAAAAAGGTTAGAAGCAGTCGTATCCTAATCCTATTTATTGCTTATTTTGAATTTTTTTGAGGTTGACATTTATATTAATAAACGTTGAAATTGTCCATTGGGGATATTGTTGCCAACAAAATTTGAGGTGTGTATTAAAAGTTGCTAAAACCTTGTTTTTGTCATTTTTTTTAACAACTTAGCTTATTAATGTAAACACACATTTAATTACATTTTCTTCACCTTTGCTATTCTCAATCTCATTACATGCTTTCACAATCAACTTGTAAACTTTTAATTAATTATAGATTTTGATTAAATTATTTATATATATTGGTGGGTTGATCGTAAATATTTTGTAATTTTTACAAGGATAATAAATTTTTTTATCGGCAAATTCAATGTAATTTTTATTAATATATCAAAAAAATTTAACATGTTCAAACAAAGATAATTATCAGCATTGCATTGTTTGAGATTTAACTTAATTATTCCAAATCATTGTATTAGCATCTAAATGAAGTTATTACTCTTGAATAATATAAAGTTGAAGATAAAAAAATAAAACTGAATGAAAGTATTATTCGTTAATATAAAGTTGAAGATAAAAAAATAAAAATACTGCAGTTGGTGTGCCCACTCGCCGCCAATCATCTTCCGGGATGCTTTTCTTTTCTTACACCTGCTGAAGTTGACAAATCGCAGCTGGTGGACTTTGTCTCAATTCTTAAATCCCAGGGGCCGCTGTCCATTCCCCATTAGACTTTAAGGTTTGCTTATCTGCCACGGTCATTGAGAGCGCGCTATTCTCTCTGAGCTCACCATCCATTTTTCTAGATATAAATCTAGAATAATATAAAAAAAATATTCAAGCTTTATTATATATTCTGGATGTGGTTTTTGTATGTTAAGAAAAACTGTGTCTTTATTAATCAAGCAATCTTGGACAGGAAACGATTGATCAATACCCATGTTTAGATATTCACCATTGTCGGTTCTAGATCTGGTACTGGTTCTATACTGTGTTTGCATGATCGGTATAGTTCATGCACAGAATCAAACTCAAGCTACTACAGATTCTAATGAAGGTACGAAGCTCCATCTATACAGCTCTCTATCTTTTATATATATATACATACACACACACACACACACACACACACACACACACACACATATATATTCTATAGATAAATTCTTGTTGTTCATGAGGATGATAGGTTGATAACGTTGCTTTCTTCTTCTTCTTCTTCTTCTAGTTGTAGCCAGTTATCAGATGGGTAGATATTAGCAAAATAGCCAAAGATACAAACACATGCTCTTCCTGTCGCCTTTTTCTTCTATGAAATTAATGGGTTTCATGAAATACAAATTAAAATTTTATCCTAATTTTTCGAATTATGCAGTGAGTTTCTAATTTGTGAAGTTGATAACAAAGAAATAATCGATGCTCTGCAATTTTCAACACCTGAACGTATACGACCACAATTTTAAAATTTTCCCTTAGTTTGCAGATTGTTGAATTGAAGAGGTTTTTAATGAAGGTCTGAAATTTTTTTCAGTTTTTAAAATTTAATTATAATGCTTAAATATTTTTTTTATTAATAATTCAATAAATCATATATCATAAATTATATCATAGGTATATATTATTATCTTAAAAGATAGTAATAGGTTAAATTTGTAATTTACGTATTAATATCAGGTAGTGCCTGATTATGATTTTTTCTAATAAATAGTACTATTAATTTTTTAAAAGTCAAAAGATATAATAATTACTTTTGGATTTTTTAAATTTTGACCTGCAAGTACACCAATAAAAATGTAGGCGAAAATTGCTATTATTCGCAAGTGGCGGTGGTTATTACGGTTTACGGCATATTCAAAAAGATAAATGGCGGCGTCTGATACTGTAATTGAATAATTCAAAACTGTTTTTTCTTTTTTCTTTTAAAAATTTCAGTATTCAACTTTGAATTAAAAAATGATTTTAATCTGATGAATGCAAATTCATGAATTTTATAGTGTGGTTCATTTTCATCAAATTGTGAAAACTATTGTCAAAAAACTCAGAAATCAATACCTCCACTGTTGAGAAGACCAACCAACTGGCTTCTTCGGTTAATTTTCGAAGTCATAATAGAAACGAAAATGGAATCGCCTGTAAATTGTAATGAATTCACTTTGACATGATCATGAGTTTTGTAAAATTGATATATTGCAGCGAGGGCATTAAATTCCATCTTTCAACAATGGGGAATCCAAGCTAATCAAAACCAATGGAATATAAGCGGAGAGCTATGCAGTGGAGCAGCACTCGGTTCATCACCCACTATCGACGACCAGGAATACAACCCTTTTATCAAATGCGATTGCTCTGCCAATAATGGCACCACTTGCCACATTACTGCGATGTACGGTTTTCTCACAATCAAACTTTTAAGTTTATTTTGTTGGTCTTTTAACATTTTCCTTTGCGGAGGTATTTTTCCTTTGCGGAGGTATCATATCTGTTTCATTTTTATGCCTCACTCAGTAGTGAACGGCTTGATTTTAGTGTTATAATTAATCTTCGCTCATTCTTGAAATGGTTTGCAGGAAAGTTTATGCAATCGATGTTGTGGGTGTAATTCCAGATGAACTGTGGAATTTGACTTTCCTCACCAATTTGTATGGTTTCTTACTCCTTATATTTATTAAAGTCGTACACTTCCATATTGCTTTCTTCTTTCACATGGAATGAAAGTTTAAGCTTTTAGCATCCCAAGTCTTAACCAAATAAATGCATACGCTTTGTTACTTTTTGACCCTCGTCAACTCGCTAGTGTACTGAGTTCGTTTTCTTTTCTTACAGGAATTTGGCTCAGAATTACTTGACTGGTAACCTCTCTCCATCCATTGGCAATTTAACTCGCATGCAATACCTGTAAGCTGATCTAAATTACTCTACTTTTACTCATAGGAAATGCCATTATATACTGCTTCTTGTTTTCTGACGTTAAATTAATACTTCGATCAGGAGCGTTGGCATTAACTCCCTGTCGGGTGAACTTCCTAAGGAACTTGGATTGCTCACTGATTTACGATCACTGTAAGTTTATTTAGCTGGGAACTTGATGAGTTTGTTATTCAACTGATGAGGACAGTGATCTTTTTTTTTTTTTTTTTTTTTTTATGTTATTCAGTGTTATGGACTTGTTGGCTAAGTGTTTCTACCTATAAGTAGGATCTACCACATTACTGCCAAACTACTAGTCTGTGCATACAGAAATTGCCCAAGGATATAGTCTGTGCTACAAAATGCTTGCTTTTTATATAGTTATATGTGATGGGTACTCGGATAGATTATCTTAAATAAGACTCTTTCTCTGTCGACTTTTCTCATTATATTGCAGTGGTTTTGGATCAAACAACTTCTCTGGTCCTCTGCCATCTGAGCTTGGAAGTTGTTCGAGGCTAGAACAAATGTAAGCGTTGTTCATTTGTTCTGTTTCAAGTATATAATCTTCATTTCTTGTTAGTTTGTATTTAGTAGAAGTGGTTTTTGGAAATCTATATCACTTCTACATTCATATATTGAAATGAATTCAATGACAGTGATTATGCCATTTTGGCTTACCTATGTTCCTACTCGCATGTTAACTGTCTTTCAGTTCTTCCCTCACTATCTATAAATAATTTGACTTTTGCATTTTCAAATGAAAAAATTATCTGATAACAACACAGCTGATAAAAATATTTTACCTTGACAGTTATTTTGATAGCTCTGGAGTTAGTGGTGAAATTCCTCCTACATTTGCTAACCTACGAAACATGGTTACTGTGTAAGAACTGTTTGACAACTTTGACTCTGGTAAATTTCTTTCTAGAAGATACTGATAAAATATGTTATGTCGATTCTTTGTGTTGGACCCAGGTGGGCATCAGACAATGAACTTACAGGCAGGATACCTGACTTCATAGACTTCATAGGGAATTGGTCAAAGCTTGCGTCCCTGTATGACAAATGACAATTCATCAAATTTTTTTTATTAATTTTCTTGGATTAAAGCTCAAGTGACTACTACTTTTTGGAAATTGAATAGAGGAGATTTGATAGTTAATTTTGTGTTGCTGCTTAAATGCCAAAGCCGTATGCTTATATCAGCTACTCATAAATGTAACTGCAGAACGTTTCAAGGGAACTCCTTTGAAGGTCCTATTCCATCAGCATTATCCAACCTAACTTCTTTGAAAGAGCTGTGAGTACCTGCACCTTTGCATGCTTGTATTTAAATGTTACACACATATGATATTAACAACCTAAGGTAAATTCTAAATGTAGGAGAATAAGTGATTTATCAAATGGAAGCTCTTCACTGGCATTTCTTAAGGATATGAAATCTCTAACTGTCTTGTAAGAGAATATAATACTATCTTCTTATTCAATGTCTTGGTGTCATATAAATCATTATTTTTTCTCCCCACTGAACTAACTTTTAAAAGTTAAAATGACAATTCAGTATATGTTATTCAGGGTGCTAAGGAATGATAATATATCTGATTCAATTCCTATGTTATTCAGGGTGCTAAGGAATGATAATATATCTGATTCAATTCCATCCAGTATTGGAGAATACCAGAATTTGACACAGTTGTAAGTTATTTTTATTGATGAGTCATTAGATGTACATGTAGTTGGCAATATCTTATGTTGAGCTCAGGTTGGCTAAAATATCTTTTTACTCATTAGCTGATTGTTGATTTGGTTGTATCACTTTTTGGAGTTGGGTGTTACAAAATTTATAAATTGCTAAAGTTTAGTGATCAAATTTAGCAGATTGGTTGTGCTTTTCTGATTAGGCAATTGATCACTCTAAAGTAACTGCAAATAAGTTACCCTCTTTGGGATGGAGTAATGGTCTGGTGTCTGGGTTAAATTCTGAATCTCCTGTACCATGATCAATCTGTTCTCTTTTTCTGTACTATGTATAACTTGTTCAGCAATTTTGTTTATCTTTAACTTTATGGTTGCAATGATTTTTTTCCTTAGAGATTGGAGCTTCAACAATATAATTGGAAGGATACCGGATTCACTTTTCAATTTGAGCCGGCTCTCTTTCTTGTAATATACCATCTCTGCTTGATTTTGTCATGATACATCTCAAAGTGCGTTTCAACTTGAACATGTACTGCTCCCTTCCTCCTCAGGTTTCTTGGAAATAACAAGTTAGAAGGTCCCCTTCCTGCACAAAAAGTTTCATCGCTCCGAAATGTGTATGTTCATCTCAAACATTCTATCCAATATCATATACTATCTGTTTATTTCCTGGTTGGATTAAATGCTTAATGTTTTTCTCTATGTCCCAAGTCCAGATAGTTAATATTGACATAACTAATTCCGGACTAAGGTATTCCATGAATTGGGTGAAATACTTATCTTTTTTTTCTTTGACAATTTATAATTACAGTGATGTTTCATACAATAATTTATCAGGGAGCCTTCCTTCCTGGGTTAACTGGTTAATAATTCAACAAGTTACAAGGTGGTTATAGTTCTTAGTTCTCTGAAATTTACAAGTGTAAGTTCTTAGTTCCTCTGTTCTTTACTTTTCTTAGTGATATTTCTGACTCATTCTCTATGGAGTTATTGATGAAAGAACTTCCACTGAAATCTTTAATTCTTTGTGGTGTTTGTGCAGTAATTTAGTTGCAAACAACTTCACAATAGATCTTTCAAATAGCGGGTAATTCTTTTGGTTCTATGTTCACCTTTGTGCTTAAATAACTGGTACTTAGTGTCTGTTATAATTTCCTATTAGTCACTTAATCAAATTTATCTTTGGCTTTCAGTGGTTTGCCATCAGGTCTGAAATGTCTTCAATGTAACTTTCCTTGCAATAGGGAACCTCCAATCTGTAAGTATAATTAAAATGCTCTCCTTTTTCATACTTTTCTGAAATAGTGCACTAAGTTTGGTAGTGAGGGTCACAGAAGAAGGGAAGGTTAATTTACTTAAGAATAATGTCATTTCAAACTGTAAACTTTTACCATTCTTAATTTGGCAGAAAGTATAACCATGAAATTTTTTAATCTCCTGGTTTTTGCTAAAGAAAGTATAACCATGAGTTTATACCATGAAAGTTAAATCACTAAAGAAGAAGTTTATAACCATGAAATTTTTTAATCTCCTGGTTTTTGCTAAAGAAAGTATAACCATGAGTTTATCACTAAAGAAAGTTTTGTTTTCATGGGGTTAAAAAGATGTCCCAATATAACAGTGAGAGGATAAATCTGACAGGTTCCTATTTTCTTCTGGTGCACAGATTCTCAGTTTGCAATAAAGAGTGGTGGTCCACCGATCACGTCTTCCGATGGAATCTTGTATGAGGGGGAAAATGAGACTCTTGGTGCTGCAACATCTTATGTTACTGGTACAAACCGATGGGGTGTCAGTAATGTTGGATATTTTACCGGAACCAAAAATCCTCAGTATACTGCTTCCTCATCATCGCAATCCACAAATACTTTGGACCCTGAGTTATTCCAAACGGCAAGGGTTTCTGCTTCGTCACTAAGATACTATGGTTTGGGGCTTGAGAATGGCAATTACACTATCAACCTTCAGTTTGCAGAAATAGTAATTGAGGATGGTAACACATGGAGGAGTCTTGGGCGGCGTGTTTTTGATGTTTATGTCCAGGTCTGTGTATTATATATGAATTTTTTTAAGACTTCTAATGTTGTCCTCCAAATGGAAGATAATATTGCAATAGACTTCTAATTTTTTTTTTTTAATATTAATTCTAAGTATTGCTCTGGGGATTTCTTTTAAATAACATGAATGTGGAGAATAGCTATGAAAAATTGCTGCATGATTGCTTCCAGAAGGATTTATCTTTCACAATTAAATTGAAAACTCTTTTAGTGATGCTGATTATCAATGCTATGGAGAAATCCAACTCTTGTTTTCTTGTGGAGTCATTATATTTTTACTTTTCTTTAATTGAAGTTCCGAAGTTATTTTAATCCAGGGCAATCGTGTGCTAAAGGATTTTGACATAAGAAAGGAGGCAGGTGGAGTCTCTAAACGAGCTGTAGAAAGGAGCTACAAGGCTCAGGTGTCTGAAAATTACCTTGACATCCATTTATTTTGGGCGGGGAAAGGGACTTGCTGCATTCCTTCTCCGGGTACATATGGACCTTCTATTTCAGCAATCATTGCTACCCCAGGTACTAAAACTAGAGAATTTTATTGATTTTTGCTAAGCCGATACCAGGTTATTGAGTTCTGAGCCTTTATGCAGATTTCATACCAACTGTTAGTAACAAGCCTCCAACTAGTAAAAAGGATAGGACTGGTCTTATTGTGGGAATTGTTGTTGGCATTGGAGTAGCAAGCTTTCTTCTTGTCTCTCCTTTCTTCTTGTCTCTCTGGTTTTCTTTGTCATTCAAAGAAGAAAAAGGCAAAGCACTTATGATGATGAAGGTAAATGAAAATCAAACTCCATATATGGTACTACCCATCTGGAAAATTGTGTAGTCTTCATGTATGTATCAAGAGATGCTATTGGCCAGACATGATTTTAGCTTTTTATTGGTATTAAGCTTTTTATTGGTATTAATTAACATTTAAGGAACATATTATGTCAAACACAAAATGAAGATTTACTGACTTTCCCTATTCCACATTGAGATTTACTGGAGTCTTTCTGCTTAATATATTACAGTAACAACTAGACAAGTAGTTTTTCGAATGACCCATCTTTGTGTTGAAATTGCAGAGCTCCTAGGTATAGGTGCTAGGCCATACACTTTCAGCTACACTGAACTGAAGACAGCTACAGAAGACTTCAGCCCTGCCAATAAGCTTGGAGAGGGAGGATTTGGACCTGTGTATAAGGTCTGCAACTATTTGACTCAAGGATATTTCAAACTGATAGTCTTTCATTTCCATCTAATATTTCTTCTGTGTGCAATCGTTTGGAATAAATTGAGGCCAGTTATTAACTAGACTATGAACATGCTACCTTCGGTCAACTGTTAACAAAGTATTGGATATATGTTAATTTTGGTCCTCAAGATCTTCTGACCACATGTTCTTTTTTGTCACTTGTATAGCTGGGCGTTCTGAGGTTGAGCCTTGATGGTTTCTTGTCATGGGCTCAAACAATATGAATAGCCTCACAATGCTAGGGGATGGCTGCATGCATTTGACTCAATGCATGAGGCCTTGTGCACTGGGATGCCCTTCCTTCATGGTTGAGCAGTCTAACTTGCAAGAAATAAAAAATATGCAGATGCTTATTTGCTAAACTCACTCCACACAGAACTTTCATCTTCTGTCCCCAGTGGATTGAGAATCTAAAAGAGTTGTTTTTTTTTTAAGTTCAGGGTGTATCTTCCTTTTTTTTTTTTCCCTTCTTGTCCTTGTCTGAATTTTGTTCTCAAATAGGGAGAACTTAATGATGGGAGAGTGATTGCTGTGAAGCAACTTTCTGTGGCATCCCACCAAGGAAAGAGCCAGTTTGTAACAGAGATTGCTACTATATCTGCCGTGCAACACCGCAACCTTGTGAAATTGTATGGGTGCTGCATTGAAGGGTATAATAGGCTTCTTGTTTATGAGTATCTCGAGAACAAGAGTCTTGATCAAGCACTATTTGGTACGATATTTTATTATAAATTCACATAAGCAAACTCTTGTCACAGAGACCTTGGTGGAAATATCGTTTAATTAGACGCGGATTGTATGTTACAGGAGAAACAAGTTTATATCTCAACTGGCCTACACGTTATGAAATATGCTTGGGAGTAGCCAGAGGTCTAGCTTATCTTCATGAGGAGTCGAGGCTTCGGATTGTGCATAGAGATGTGAAGGCAAGCAATATTCTGCTTGATTCTGAGCTCATCCCAAAAATTTCAGATTTTGGTTTGGCCAAACTTTATGATGATAAGAAGACCCATATAAGCACCCGTGTCGCAGGAACAATGTAAGATCCAGCGATTGATAAGAAGACCCATATAAGCACCCGTGTCGCAGGAACAATGTAAGATCCAGCGATTATTCTTTCTGACTTAATTAATCTCCAATTTAATCATTTCTTGAAAAAAATAAATCGTGTGAGCGGAGTAATTTTATAGTGACATCATCATTTCTACTGTAGTGGGTATCTTGCACCTGAATATGCTATGCGTGGACACCTTACAGAAAAGGCTGACGTCTTTGCATTTGGTGTGGTGGCTCTGGAAGTCGTAAGTGGGAGGCCAAATTCAGACTCAAGCCTGGAAGAAGAAAAGATTTAAAGATTTATCTTCTCGAATGGGTATGATATAAAAGATACATTCCTTCGAATGGAACTCTTTTTTTCCGTTTATTGGAAAGTTTCAATTGCCTTTACCATATGTCGAATCTTAGCTATTAAGAAGAATTAGTGCATTCATATATTTTAATTATACAAAAAGTTGAAACATCATTAAGGTTGGATGCAAATTAATTGTGAAAGTTTCAAATTTTCACTTAAAATAAAATAAAAAAGACCGAGTATTTTCTTATATTCTTTTAGAATCAGAATAAAAATTATCATAATTTTCTATTTCCTTTTCTTTTTTCTTTTACCTCTTTTCTCTGGTGACCTGAAAAGAACGGATTTTTCTTTTCTTGTGATGAGTTGGTAAATTATGAAGGAAGTTAAAAAATTTCTTTCAATTATTAAGCAGAGTTATAATAACTTTGAATAATTTATACATCTATTGCTTTGAATGTTGTCCATTAATGGAACTTGTAACCTTTTTGACTTTTAGGCTTGGCACCTGCATGAAAACAATCGTGAAGTAGAACTAGTAGACTCTAGATTATCAGAATTTAGTAGACTCTAGATTATCAGAATTCAGTGAGGAGGAAGTAAAACGCTTAATAGGGGTAGCTCTTTTGTGCACTCAAACTTCACCAAATCTTCGGCCACCAATGTCACGCGTAGTGGCTATGCTAACTGGTGATATTGAAGTGAGCTCTGTTACTAACAGACCTGGATATTTGACTGACTGGAAATTTGATGACACAAGCAACTTTATGGATGATAATGGAGGCAGAGGAATTGATACCAGTTATTACAGTTCATCTACAAGTGCAAGCATGGTGACCGACGCAGAGCATACACATACAAGTGCCGCCAAACCCATGCTTTCGGAGATCATTGGAGAGGGTAGATAAAGAAACCTTCTTTTCTATTTCCTTCTTTTTCTAAATGTTCATGCATCTAATTGTAGAAGTGAGCTTTGCTATCTTAATATTGTTTTTCACTGATGCAATTAAATGGATATCATATTTTTGTTTAATTTTTAGCCACTCAAAAAAAAAACCCAGGATTCATAAATTAATACCAATACATACTCCAGAAGAAAATGGCTAATTTTCTTCTATAAAGGAAAAAATATTTCCATTTAATTGCAGGAAATTTTGACAAAATTATTGGCCT